AAAAAAAAAAAAAAAAAAAAAGAAAGAAAGAAAAATTAAGGAATGTTGCATTGTTCAGTCATAATTACTAAAACTGTCGTGCTTTCCCCCTCCTTTGAAGGTTAATTTTCTACAATTTCTTTGCACCTCGTTGTTTTCTAGAACCTGTGGGTCTTGGCTATCATAGCTATGCATGAAGAAGTACTTTGAAAGTCTAGACCAATATCAGTTCACATAGGTAGATAATTTATGATGAACTTTTATCTCTATTTTATTGAATGAGTATATTTAATTTCCCCTAATTGCTACAGAGAAGGTACAAAAAAGAAATGTCATTTTTTCCCCTGTATCCTGGAAAAAGTATCCCTTAGTAGGAGTGAATTTTTTTTCTTCATGCTTTGAAAATTGAAGACCATCTCTGGGGGGAAAATATTTAATGCAGAAATTCATTGAATGTGTAAGTATTATAATGTATGAAATTATAGACCATATTATATATTGAAACAAATATTATATTTTAGGACAAAGCAAAGGTAAATTCTGGCAATAAGTACAATGACAACTTTTTTGGATTGTACTGCATTTGCAAGAGACCTTATCCTGATCCTGAAGACGAGGTAAGAGAATTGGAGGTTAAAACCTGGGATTGTGTGGTCTCTAGCCTTAGCTCTTCAACCTCTTGTCATATCTAAGCATCTAGCTCTTCAGGAGGGATTTTGGGATGGTGAAAGGGTTCTAGATTTATCCCTTCTTATGTACCTAGTTGGATCTATAACTGGTACAGATCTCAGTTATTTTGTCATTCTTACATCTTGAGAATAAAATATTGGAGAGTACTTTCCTACGGCCAGAACTTCTTTCCTTCCTCTCCATCTTTCCTGCTTGCCTGCTCCACTCCCCAAACACTTCCTAAGACATGCCCTTCAACTTCTTGTGTCCATTTAAGGAAAGAAGTGGGGTGTATAAACTGCACCCTCTTAAACATTTCAATTAGAAGTATGTGCAAAATTTGAAGAGTTCTTCCTCACTCCTGTACTTCTTACCTCTCAGACATAACCACTATTAATACTTTTTGGTGTATATATTTTTAGGCCTTTTTCTGTGCACATAAAAGTGAGTGAATGTGTTTTAATGTACAGTTTCTTTTTAACAAAGTTGAAGATTCTGTACATTTACTTCTGCAACTGGCTTTTGTCATTTATCAGTATGTCATACACATTCTTCCATGTTAACAATACAGTGCTACAGAGGATCCTATAATTTGACATGGCATAAGTTAGTTAACCTTATTCTTCTGTAGCAAAATGGCACTAATTTTTCACTATTAAGAAGGCAGTGAACATCTTTATTCCGGAATATAACTGAGTATTCTTCTGAAAGTATTTATATATTAATAGAATCTACGCCTAGAGGTAGAATTGATCAAAGGATATTTTTAGTATTTTACATTGTGATCCTGTCTGCCAAAAAAGTTCAGCCAGCAACAATATATGATAATGTTTTTTTCCAACACTTTTGTCTACCCTGCATATGACCAGTTCTTTAAAATTTTGCCAATTCTGATAAATGAATACTAATATATTTTAAAACTATTTCTTTCCTTGATCATGAGTGAGGTTTGTCTCTTTTCATGTGTTCATTGGGCATTTGTAATAACTTCTCTGAATTGTCCTTTCATACCCTAGGTTGGTTCCATGGTTTTTTTTTCCTCTTAAAATTTATTTATTTACTTGTGTATCTATCTGTGTATTTATTTTGAGTCAGAGTCTCACTCTATCAGTCATGCTGGAGTGCAATGGCATGTCTATGGCTCACTGCAGCCTCTACTTCCTGGACTTAGGTGATCATTCTGCCTCATGTTTTGGTTGGATTGGGTTTTGTTTGTATATTTATTGACTTGAAAGAATGCTTTTTATATTTAGAGAAATAGCCCTCTGTCTTCTTCCTCGCTTTCTGATTGTCTTGGAACTATAATTATTGGACCAAATTATATAGAAGAACAAATTGAAGTATCTTTGAGTTAACAAAAATCAAACCTTAAAAATGGATATTTTAAGGTGTGGGGTAAAGTGTTGCTTATAACTGTTAGAGCAAAAAACAAAAATAAGATGATGGATAAATTGATAAAGGCAGAGAAAAGAATAAAACTCCTTTGTATATATGTGTGTGTGTATGCTTTTTTTTTTTCTTTAAGAAACACAACAGGTGGGCACAGAAAAAAGCACAGCAGGAAAAGGACAGAATGACATTGGAATGTTAATTAATAAATATGAAAGCCTGGGAACAAAAGGAAAATCATCCCCAAAATAGACTATGTACTTTGGTATATAATTTTTCTAGAGCCAGCATTTAATTTTGTAATTATTTAATTTATTCAAATTAGAGATGTTACTGTTGTTTATATTATCAAGAGATTGTTTGTAACATTTATTATTCAGTTTTCTTGGCAGGATGGTGTTGTAAAAGTTTCAATTGTCATGGTCTATGTTGGTCAATTCACTTTACTTTCCTGGGCCTGGGTTTGTATATAAAGTGGGAATGCCTTACTTAACTATAAAGTTTTGTGAGAATCAGATATTAAGTAACTGATATGAAATAGCTTTAATGTTACTTGTAAAGTGCTTATCAGTATAACCCTTTGTAACACTGGTTCATGTAAAATTAATTTATTTGTCCCTACTATTACATGGGTGGGGTCCCACAGAGTTGGTAGAGTACTATTTAATATCTTTTTCTACTGTGTGCTAGGATTGCTTCCATGTCCTAGAATTCATATAATCTGTAATAAGCAAACTTTTTTTCTCTGTTAGATTCCAGATGAGATGATCCAGTGTGTGGTCTGTGAAGACTGGTTCCATGGAAGGGTAAGGAAAACTTCTACCTTGTAAAATCATTGTCTTCATAAAAAGATAAAAGATTTTTTCCTTTTGATTTTTTGATATTTTACATTATAATTGCTATTCTAATATCAAGCTATAAAAATATGATCAGTATGCTTTTTTTTTTTTTTTTTTTGAGTCGGAGTCTCACTCTGTCGCCCAGGCTGGAGTGCAGTAGCATGCTGCTCATGGCCACTGAAGCCTCGACCTGCTGGGCTCAGGCAGTCCTTCTGCTTCAACCTTCCAAGTAGCTGGAACTACAGGCACTTGCCACCACACCCGGCTAGTTTTTTGATTTATTGTAGAGAATGAGGTCTTGCTGAGTTGTCCAGGCTGGTCTCAAACCCATGGGCTCAGGCAATCCTCTTACCTCCCAAAGTGCTGAGATTATAGGCGTGAGCCTCCATGCCCGGTCTGATCAGTATACTATTGAAATATTTATAAAATAATGAGCATTTTTGAGAACTTGGTGATTATAAGAAAAATATTTATTTTTCCTGTATTCACAGCATCTTGGTGCCGTTCCCCCTGAGAGTGGGGATTTCCAAGAGATGGTATGCCAGGCTTGTATGAAACGTTGTTCTTTCTTGTGGGCTTATGCTGCACAGTTGGCAGGTAGGTATTTTTGTGAAGTTGGTGTGCCACGAACTTGTGCTTGTGAAATTTGTATGTTCAATCCAGAATTTTTGCAATTATTTTAAATTGAGCTGTCAGGTATAGAAAACAGTATATGTTCCTTCTCTACAAGGTGCTTGTAGGTTGGTTGGGAGACTACCAAGGAAAAAATTGTACTTGATGGTAGAGTATTGATGATACCAGAGTTAGAGAAAATGGAGGAGGCAATTTTTGAAAGGGATTTTTTTCTTTTAAATTTTCTATTTTGATTGGGAGGTAAATGTGCAGGTTTGTTACATAGAAATATTGCATGATGGTGAGGCTTGGACTTCTACAAAGCCCATCACCCAGGTGGTGGACATGGTGTCCAGTAGGTCATTTTCAGCCCTTATGCTCCCTTCCCCCCTTTAGAAGTGCCCCAGTGTCTGTTGTTCTCATTCTTGTGCCTGTGTATATACAGAGTTTCGCTCTCACTTATTAGGGAGAATATAGGGTGTTCAGTTTTCTGATTCTATGATAATTTACTTAGGATAATGGTCTCTACCTACATCTATGTTGCTGTAAAGGACATGATTTTGTTATTTTTTATGGCTGTGTGTATATGGTGTATATGTACCATATTTTCCTTATTCATTCCACCACTGATGGGCACCTTGGTTGGTTCCATGTTTTCTTTCCCCTTAAATTTAATTAATTAATTAATTAGTATATTTTGAGTCAGTCACTCTGTCGGCCATGCTGGAGTGCAGTGGCACGATCAAGGTTCACCACAGCCTCTACTTCCTGTACTCAGGTGATCATTCTGTTTCAGTCTCCCAAGTAGCCAGGACTATAGGTACACATTACCACACATGGCTAATTTTTTCTTTTTTTTTTGTAGAGACTAGGTCTCATTTTGTTGCCAAGGCTGGTCTCGAACTCCTGGGCTCAAGTGATCCTTCTGTCTCAGCTTCCCAAAGTGCTGGGATTATAGGTGTGAGCTTCTGTGCCTGGCCTGGTTTCATGTTTTTGCCACTGTGGATAGTGCTGTGATAAACATGTGTGCAGGTGTCTTTTTGGTCTAGTGACTTGTGCTTCTTTGGGTAATATACACAGTAGTGGGATTGCTGGGTCGAGTGGTAAGTCTATTAAATATCTTATTGGTAATGCTACGTGTGTGACTTGATTTATTTTTAAAGTGGCAGTTACTTATAGCATCTGTTGCTCCGGCCTCTTAATATTTTGCCTTTCTCATCTTTAGGAAACACTTTACCATACCAACCACAAGCAACATAGCTGTACCTGAGTTCTCTTCATATACTTTTGACTGCCTCAAAGTTCTTAAACTTGGTGCTCCCTCTTTATGTTCATATCAGTTATTTCCAGTTATCTCTCATTTTCTATAGATATGGGGCACTGGAGTTATATGTATTTCTCATTCATTGGATTTTCTTCATTGATCATCCCTCTCTCTCTTCACTTTCTTTCCTTTCAGCAGATGGCTTTATCTCTCATTAAACTGAAGTGCCAACATCCCACATGAACTCCCTTACTATTTCTCTTCTGTCCTTCACAGTATTTCTGCCTCTATACCCATCCTTTTTTTATTTCCTCCTTCTATAAAGAAAATCTGGTTGTTCTTTGAAAACTACCCTTCTGTACCTGTGTTTGCAGTTGCATCTCATTCTATTGCCTCTTGCATTTTGCATTATCTCACTTCTCCTTTTATTTATTTATTTATTATTTAATTTTTTGAGTTGGAGTCTCACTCTGCTGCCCAGGCTGGAGTGCAGTGACATACTTATGGCCACTGTAGCCTCAACCTGCTGGACTCAGGCCATCCAAGTAGTTGGAACTGCAGACACGTGCCACCATGCCTGGCTAATTTTTGGATTTATTGTAGAGATGAGTTCTCGCCAACTTGCCCAGGCTGGTCTCGAACCTTTGGGCTCAGGCAGACCTCTCATCTTGACCTCCCAAAATGCTGAGATTACAGGCATGAGCCACTGTGCCCAGCCTCTATTTCTCTTTTTAATACCTACAGTTCATTCTTCCCTCCTGTACACTTAAAGTACTTAATTAGTGATTGATATTTTCAAATGAATTGTTCAGTTATTGAATTTTTTTGATTAGACAGGCATTAGCTAAAGAAGTGCTGATAATTCCTTTTTCCTTATTCCAGAGATTGAGTGAATTTTTTACAGATTCTAAAATATTTTAAAATCGTAAGTGATTTCATTATTTGTTGAGTCTGTGGATATGTATGTATGTATTTTTTTTTCTATTGAACCACAGTAACTAAACTATCTCCTGAAGATGATGGGCTGGTGCGGAATGTTGATGGACTAGGTGATCAGGAAGTTGTCAAACCTGAAAATGGAGGTTATCAAGATAGTACCCTCAAGGAGGATGTTCCAGAAAATGGAAAGGATGTCATCAAGGAAGTTAACACAGAGCAGAGTAATGAACCATGTACCAGCTCTAGTTCTGATTCTGATTTCCAGGTAACATGTGAATTACAAGCCATAAAAGAAGTAAAACTTAAGCAAAATTAGTTCTGTGAGCCCTGTAGTTTTGGATTTCAATTGTCTCCTTTGCCTAAAAATTTCTCTTTACAAAAGCCAAACTGTGAAAGCTATGATAGTTTAAAAAACATACTTCAAAGCTTAATTTTATTTTAGACAGGGTTTAAGACTCAAAACCTCAACACAAAATCACAATGTGGCTGCACACTTCAGGAGCTTAAAGTTAACCAGTTTATAAAGAAAGACACTGCCACCTATTGGCCCCTAAACTGGCGTAGCAAGTTGTGCACCTGCCAAGACTGTATGGTAAGTATCTGATTAAGTTCAATGTTAGTATGTTTTGTGTACTCTTACCCAAAATAAGAACACCTGAAAAATATATTTATAAAATTAATGTGGGAGTGTAGGGGACTTCCACAATTTTTACATTAAACAAATTAATGAAGTAATACTTGCAGTCCAAACGCCAATGGAAGAACTTAATAATTATGCAATCCTTTTAATTTACTTTTCTTAATTGTGGTGGAAAATAGAAATGATATATTTTTAATGTTAAACTTGCTTGGAAACATCAATTGCTTGAAAGTTACAGTAAATTGGTTGTTTTAAAATAAAAATCTCATAAACCATAAAACATCTGGGAAGTTGAGAGATTTCTAGAGGAAATTTGGGCAAAAAGAATAAACCCTTCAAACATCTCTGTACTAAGAGGCTTGGATTTTTCTAGGTTTTACTCTAGAAAAATTTTTTAGTGATTCTCATGAAGTTGAATTTTGGAGAATGATATACAGCTCTAATTGAGAAAATGGTTTTATTTTTTAAAGAAAATGTATGGAGATCTAGATGTCCTGTTCCTGACAGATGAATATGACACAGTTCTGGCTTATGAAAACAAAGGCAAGATTGACCAGGCAACTGAGAAGAGAGACCCTTTAATGGATACCCTTAACAGCATGAATAGAGTCCAGCAAGTGGAACTAATTTGTGGTAAATACTATTTGTGTGTGAAAATGCATAAAGTTTCCTTTACTATGTAAAAAAGGACAATAAACACCTATATTTCTAATTTAATACTAATAATTAAAATTTAGACTTATATAGTAGGCCTCAATTACACTTTTCTTGATTTTCACATTGCTGGGTATTTTCAGTCACTATTACCATTGAATCAGAGTTACATGTAGAAAATTACATGCTTGACAAACCACAACATGTTCGATTTTGATTAAGGGTAGATGCGGGATTAAATAATAATATAAAATGTTTTCATCCATTGAAATAATTTTCATTGCCGGCTGCAGTGGCTCACACCTGTAATCCCAGCATTTTGGGAGGCGGAGCCGAGAGGATTGCCTGAGTCCATGGGTTCAAGACCAGCCTGGGCAACTTGGCAAGCCCTTGTCTCTACAATAAGTCAAAAAATTAACTGGGTGTGGTGGTGCATGCCTGTGGTTCCAGCTACTTGGAAAGCTGAGATGGAAGGATCACCTGAGCCCAGCAGGTTGAGGCTGCCATGGCTGTGAGTATGCCACTGCACTCCAGCCTGGATGACAGAGGGAGACTCCAACCCAAAATAAAAAAAGAGAAATAATTTTCTTTGAGCTTTACATCTCATCTTTTTGACAGTTGTTGTGGTTGCTTTAGTGGTTCACAAGAAACCACTTGAGGGGAAGATCTCTCCAGACCCTTAATTGTAGACTTCTACATCCCTGCCCTCTCTCCACCACCAGCATGCCCAACTTATTTCAGTGATTTTTGTCCCAGCCATTTACATTTTAATGCCACCACCTTTATGTCCTTTTTATGGCATTGATCATTTCTGTCTTTTATTTGTAACTATTTGATTAATTTCCTTTTGCCTTTATTAGATTAAAAGCTTTTTGAGGATGGAGGCTGCATCTAAAAAGATTTTTGTAGCCCTCGAGGTGCCTCACACACAATACAAACTGTTAAGTGAGTTTTAAAACTTAATGTTTGATGAGTCCAAGATTATTTTTGCTACTAGAATTCCAGAGAAATAGGAAGCCCTTTAAACAATTCTTAGCTAATTTTTCTGAGAGTTAAGCTGTTTTGGCTTTTTTGTTTGTTTGTTTGCTTTTTTGAGTAGAATTCTCACTCTGTTGCCAGGCTGGAGTGCAGTGGCCTTCCAAGTAACTGAAACCACAGGCATGTGCCACCACACCTAGCTGATTTTTTGATTTATTGTAGAGACGAGGTCTCACCATATTGCTCAGGCTGGTCTTGATCACCCTGTGCTCAGATAAACCTCTTGCCTCCCCCTCTGACAGTGCTGAGATCATAGGCAGGAGCCACTGTGCGCAGCTTGTAATGGCTTTTTTTTTTTTTTTGTGAATTTAAAAAAAAATTCATTTTTTATCTGTATCTCTCAAAAAAGGTATGTTTAAAAAAATTTTTTAATGAAAAGGGGTCCCAGATGTCAACATGGAGAAAGTCCAGAGACTTTGAAAGAAATTAGGAACAAGTTTCTATGTAGGTTTCACTTGAGAAATTTTTGGTTTAAACTATGGTATTAACATATTTAAATGTCAGTGGCAAATATTTTGTTTTTGAAAGCAAATGGCTTATCTGAGCTTTAAGTATTTTTGTGGTTTTGATTTAGAATACAATGACTTGAAGACTGAACTTAAAGACTATCTCAAGAGATTTGCTGATGAAGGCACGGTATGTTGTGTTAAATAATTTTAATCATAGCCCTCTAAGTTTTGAATAAACTGTTTATTGCCTTTGATGATATAAAATGTGCAACTTAAATGAGATATTTGAGAGTTTAATGAGAGATTGTTTATATTATTTTTATGGGTATTGGCAGGCTAAGGGAAGTCAATAAGGTGTAGTGAAACACCATGGTCACACGAACATCCTTACCAACCTAGAGTAGCTCAGAAAGACTGAGAGGTAGGAATGGTCCCATGGGATCTGGAGAGAGTAGTTGTGGCTTAGGAGAAGGTCATTAGAAGGCTGATCCTGACCTTGAAACATAGATCTTTGGGAGGGTGAGGGAAAAATGACTGGGTGATAAGAATTAAAACCAGACTCATTTTCTAGAATTCTGAGTTCCATAGTTTAGAATAGAAGAATTTTATCATTGAGGGAGCCAAATAATTTATCTTGCCAGTGAGATAGTCTGCACTTTAAAAATTTTTTTTGAGGCAGTATCTCACTATAATTGTCCAGGCTGGTCTTGAACTCTTGGGCTCCAGCAGTTTTCCTGCCTCAGCTTCCTGAGTAGCTGGGACTACAGGTGTGTGCCACCATGCCCAGCTAATTTTTTAATTTTTAATTTTTTTAGAGATGGGATCTTTGTGTTGCCCAGGCTAGTCTTGAATTCCTGGGCTCAAGCAATCCTCCTGCCTTGGTCTCCTGAGTAGCTGGGTTTACTTAGGCACATCCCCACACCCTACCAGAGTCTGTGCTTTTAAGGCCAACTCTAAAATGTGTTATGTTTTAAAATAGGCTCCCAGGTAAATTTACAGATACTTTTACTTCCCAGTTCTTTACTATTCATATATTTGTAACACTTTTTTTTCTATCTTCCAAAACAAAATTTAACCTTTCTCTTCTTGGCCTAAGTTTGTCCTTATAAACAGTAAATGTTTTCCTCTGCTACAGCCAAGCATGCAGATCAAGTCAGATGTAGATCTGATGAATACCCAAGAAGTTCCCTGAGACTTGTTTTCTTCGAAGGCGTCTCTACCAACCTAACTTTAAGCATTGTCTTCTTTCTTATAAATTTAGCTGCCTGAATTTCTGGACAGGGTAACGATGCTGCCTTTCTGCAGAATGAATTGTAAAGTCAGAAGTTAAAAGAGCCTTCCTTTAAATGGTTTTCTTTTTACACATTTATTTATTTATTTAGAGATAGGGTGTCTGTCGCTCTGTCACCCACACTGGAGGGTAGTGGCATGATCATAGCTCACTGCAGCCTTGAACTCCAGTGCTCAAGAGCTCCTCCTGTCTCAGCCCTCCTGAATAGCTAGGACTACAGGCATGCACCATCACACCCAGCTAATTTTTTAAAAAAGTTATTGTAGAGGCACGGTCTTGCTATGTTGTTCAAGTTGGTCTCAAATTTCTGGCTGCAAATGATTCTCCTGCTTTGACTTCCCAATGCCCAGTGTCATTTTCTAGAGAATGTCCTTTACTATCATTGTGAACACTTCCTATTTCCCACAGTTCTGTTTTTTTGAGTTGGAGTCTTACTCTCTTGCCCAGGCTGGAGTACAGTGGCATGCTCATGGCCACTGCAGTCTCACCCTGCTGGGTAGGCTTAGGTGATCCTTTGGCCTCAGCCTTTCAAGTAGCTAGGACTATAGGCATGTGCCACCACACCCGGCTTATTTTTGGATTTATTGTAGAGACGAGGTCTCGCGAGGTTGCCCAGGCTGATCTTGAACCCCTGGGTGCAGGCAGTCCTCTCGCCTCTGCCTCCCAAAGTGCTGGGATTATAGGCATGAGCCACTACACCCAGCTCCCACCATTCTTAAACTATAGTTAATACTTGTTTCTGTTGTAAAGGTTATCCTTTGGTTAATGTGGACTCAAGCTTCTTTTTTGCAAGAACTAAGAATGTTCATGGGTGTCACAGGGCTTTGCTTCACTATTTTAACCTTTGTGCTATTAATGGACATTCGAGGTGTTTCAAATAGTGTCCAAGCATGTTCTCACAACTGTTTTGCAGTTTATGAATTTCTTCAGACACATACTTAAAATCACATAAAAGAAAAAAATCAAATAGTTTTTTTTACATTCATACTTGAGACTTTTATTCAAAGTCTTCACATGTACCTTCAACATTTGGGTCTTTGTTATCACTAGAGCCACTCTTTTTTTTAAACAAACCATCCAAGTTGCTGCAAAGTCCATAATTTTGTCCTTTATAGAGCCACTTTTTATGAGACTTTGTTAAGAGATAATTTTTTATCTGATGTGACTGTTTTTTTTTTTTTTTTGGAGTCTCACTCTGTTGTCCAGGCTGAAGTGCAGTGGCACAGTCATGGCCACCACACCCTCCACCTGCTGGGCTCAGGTGATCCTTTTGCCTCAGCCTTCCAAGTAGTTGGAACTACAGGCATGTGCCACTACACCCATCTAATTTTTGATTTATTATAGAGACAAGGTCTCGCCATGTTGCTAAGGCTGGTATCAAAGTCCTGGGCTCAAACAGTCCTCTCGCCTTGGCCTCCTAAAGTGTTGATATCACAGGTGTGAGCTACTACACCTGGCCCATTTTTTTTTTTTAAATGTAGAAGTATGACCTCACCGTGTTGCCTCGGCTGATCTCGAACTCATGGCCTCAGGTGATCCTCTTGCCTGGGCCCTCCAAAATACTGGGCTTATAGGCATGAGCTACTGTACCCAGCCTTGGTGTGATGTGAAAACGACAGGACAGCGTGGTGACTCATGCCTATAATCCCAGCACTTTGGGAGGCCGAGGTGAGAGAATTACCTGAGTCCACAGATTTGAGACCAGCCTGTCAACTTGGCGAGACCTCATCTCTACAATAAATAAAAACATTAGCCAGGTGTGGTGGTGTGTACCTGTGGTTCCAGCTACTTGGAAGGCTGAGGCATAAGAACACCTGAGCCTAGCCGGTAGAGGTGTGTACCTGTGGTTCCAGCTACTTGGAAGGCTGAGGCATAAGGACACCTGAGCGCAGCCAGTAGAGGCTGTGGTGGTCATGAGCATTCCGTTGCACTCCAGCCTGGGCAACAGAGTGAGACTCCTACCCAAGAAAAAAATAAATGAAAGGACAGAAAAATGTGATTTTTAAAAATAGTTTGTTCCATGACATTACTAACTAGATCTTCACGCACATTCACACAAACCCCTCAAGTTGCCATTAGACTTATCTGCTTTGGTTGTATGAGGGGGACTCCCAAAAAACCCGGAATTGTCTTTTGGAAGGTGGACCCCTTGTAGTACACTTGGAATTTTTTCCTCCAGATCAAATGGTCAACCAAAGTTTTTATCTGGAAGTTTTGAGAAGGCTGCATCACTGTTTGTGGAAGAAACGTCCCGTGTTGTAGTAAATGGGTGACTCGTTCTTCCACCATGACAAGGCAACTGCCCTACTGCACTGAGTGGTCAGCAGTTTTTGACCCAAAACGGCATGACTTCCATGCCCCACCCTTCCTATTCATCTGATCTTGCCCTAGGTTACTCCCCCTGTAGAAAAAGTCCTCAAAGGGAGCATTTGCTGACATGGAAGAGGTGAAACAAAAAACAGCAGATGCACTAAAAGGCATGAAAACTGACAAATTCAAAAACTGTTTTGAGCAGTAGAAAAAGCGTCTTGATATAGGTGTAGTGCATCAAACGGTGACTGAAGTTTAAACATGTAAGAATAAATACACAATTTTTTAAATAAATAAATTCTGGATTTTTTTGGGTCCCCCCTCGTATTTGTCCACAGGGGATAATGTTAATCAGTTCTAGATGGTTCTCAGATGATGCACTGCCTTTTATTTAATGTTTGTGTGTGACTATTTAAAAAAAAAGAAGCTATTAATTTTTCTGAGACAAGGCAAAAAAAAGTTTTATTATTGAACTCAAGTATTTATTCGTTAGCATTTCTACTCTGCATGTTGGCTGTGACCATTTGAGGACATCTAGAACCAAAAATTGTACTGTTTAATTTGTGTGTTGTTAGGTCTCTTCCCACAATATCCTTGCTGGAGATATCATTCTTTTACTGACTTGCAGTGGTTAATGCTTGTAATCCAAGGCAGGGACACAGCCTTTGTTTTGGAACTTTCAAGTATCAGATTTATTAGCATTTTATAAATGCAAATTCCTAAGTCATTTAGTCAAGTGCCTTAGAACTTTGAACTGCAGTTACTCACGATGTGTTAGCCATCTAGATTCTGACTAAGTAGGGGTTCTGATTCCTTACTGGTTGACCAACAGTTTTACTCTTGATTCTTGTGGAACTGGTATACCAGCTGCTGGTGTGGCAGAGTATTGACAGATGCTCTACACTCTTTGATTTAGAGATTAATAAGCATCTTACTCCAAGGAAATTATTGCAAATTAGCGTTACCATTGGAGTATGGTGGTGGCACTTGCACCTGGGAAACGAGAGAGGGCGGTTTTCACTTTATAACCCTTTTTCTAACTTTCTTTTTTTTTTTTTTTGAGTTGGAGTCTCACTCTGTCGCCCAGACTGGAGTGCAGTGGCCACTCCCGGCCACTGCAACATCGACCTGCTGGGCTCCGGCGATCCTTCCGCCTCAGCCTTCCAGGTAGCTGGAATTACAGGCATGCGCTACCACGCCCGGCTGATTTTTTGATTTATTGTAGAGATGAAGTCTTGCTGCCCAGGATCTCGAACCCGCCGGCTCAGGCAATCCACTCACCTTAACCTCCCAAAGGCGCGGGATTACAGGCTGAGCCACTGAGCCCGGCTATCTAACTTTCTTTTTATCTCTTTCTTCTTTTATTCACTTGTGTTCACATACCCTCTTTTTCTCTTTTTCTTCCCTTCACTCTCCCTGTCTTTTTAACAATATGCATGTGTTACCTTTGTAACTAAAAAATAACAATCAGGGCACAGTGGCTCAAGTGTTTTGTTTCAGTTGCTCCAGAGGTTGAGGCAGGAGGATCACTTGAGCCCAAGAGTTTGAGACTGCAGTGAGTTATGATTGCATCTGTGAATAGCCATTGTGCTCCAGCCTGTGCAGCAAATCGAAACCCCAACTCTAAAAAGTAAACAAGTTAATTAATTAACAAACTTGTTTATTTTGTTGGCTATTAGATTAGCTTTTGATTGGATCAGTGGGTATAGACTCATTCTTGGGTTGAGCAGGGACTCCTGTGTTACCCAGTTGGGTTTTCATCCATATTTTCTCATTTTCTTATTTTTAATATTTTACTTTGCTAGTATCATAAACACCTTGGTATGTTATATAAATCTTTTTTCCAATAAAATGAGGTATATTTATTTTTGATGGCATAGAATGGATTTAGTTTTATTTTTTTCCCCAATTTTTCTGTTTATATAGCAAACATCTTTAATTTTGGACTCTTAAAGAAGAAAAGGTTTTCTTTTGTTTTTTTCAATGATGAATTGGAGAATGTTTCATATTTCTTTTTTTTAAACCTTCTCCACAATTGGTAAAGAAGAAAGCACAAATCACAACAGACTGTGTTCTCTGTGGGTGTTTTTGCAGAGCTGGTGTACATGTCAGAAAGACAGCTATAGTAAGGAGAGCACAAGCAGTCTGAGGAGACCTTCAGAGTTCTCAACTTGTGTGCTGGTTTTGCCACTTTTCAGCTAATATTTTTTGAGAATTTGCTATATGCCAGGCAATGTTTACAGGCATTATAGCTCATCTGATCTTCAGATGACCCCATTAGATATGTGCTGCTTGTATCTTTTTGAAGAGGGGGAAACTTAGGTAGATGGTGAAATCTAAGCTTTGAACCATTCTGCTACCCCAGCAAATGGAGATAGTATAATTAATTACACAATAGGGCCAGGCTCGATGACTCATCCCTGTAATCCTAGCACTTTGGGAGACTTAAGCGAGATGGCTTGCGCCCAGGAGTTTGAGACCAGCCTGGGCAACATAGCAATGCCTTGTCTCTATTAAAAAATAATAATACATTTAAAAATTTTTTAAAAAAGAACTTCTAAAAAAATTGACACATTGGTATAATTCTTGTGAGCAGTATTTTTGACTTGTGAATGTTAGGACCTTTTATTGCTGTTATATAACTTAGTTTCCTTTGCTAATCTTTGCTTTTCATCAACAGGTTGTTAAGAGAGAGGATATTCAGCAGTTCTTTGAAGAATTTCAGTCAAAAAAGAGAAGAAGAGTGGATGGGATGCAGTATTATTGCAGCTAAAGTGGTGTATGAAGCTTTCTCATTCAGGCCAATGAAAATGCCACTTCCTATCTAGGAATAAAAGAGGCATATCTCATATTTGGTTCCCTTTCCGTCCTCCTCTTTTTTGGAGAGGCCTCAAGCTCCCATCATTTTCCTTAACTACAGTAGCCACAATGTTGATGCTGATTTCACAACCAGCATTCTTTATGACTCAGCTAATGCAACTCATTCCACAGACTTCAGCCCCCAACCCCCATATGCTCTGGGTTATTTGCTTATATGTTTTAAGAAGTTTGATTTGGTTTTGAGAGAGCAAATTGGTTTCTTTTGTATGATTTGTTCTTTAAATCCCGAATGTATGTGCTTTGCCACAGAGCTGTTGTGCTTTGCCAGGACCACCTCTGTAGGCATCACAGAAGGTTCTCTTTCTGTCAGCTAGAACCTCTGTGTGTCCCCTCACCCTCTGATCTGGTGCCTTGGGCCAAAGCTTCCTCAAGCCTGGTCTCTTTCTGTCACATCCCTACTTTTGGAGGTTTGGTCATGGCTTAGAAGGGGTATTGTTTTCTCTGGGCCCAGTCTCCAGAGTAGTCATGATCAGTAGCTGTCTGGCTTGATTGTATGTGTGTGTCACAGGTAGGGAGAGTGACTGATGACAGGGTTGAGGAAGCAACCCTTTGTTACTAATACATTTAAAGTGAAATTTTCACTCACAATTCTGCTGGCACTAGAATATTATAATTTCAGTACTGTAGTGCTCACTGGGCTTCCTGGAGAAAATTTGCCAGTATACTAGACCCTTTTTTGCTGCCTAGAAAACAGACCGGGTATCACCCCTGTGAAATCTTGGTGGTTTACGAAGTCCTCTGGATTTCTTTATATTATCAGGGATATTCTTAAGCATATATTTAAGAGGACCTATTTTGATATTGTTCTGTTATAAAAATGTTATTAGAACCCCAATAAATTATTCTTTTCTCCCCTTGAATCTGTGCTGAAGAAAAAAGATACTGACTTAGCTTGCTTGTAGTGAGCAGGGCAGTGATTGTCCTATTTTGGAAGAAACAGCCTCTGTGGAGGAGATTCCAGACAAGGCCCTAGGCTGCACGAATGATGAGTTTTCTGTACATAAATATTAATGTCCACAGCTGGTTCCCTAATGACTATGAGAGAAGATCTTCATGGAATGTTGAATAAAGCCCTATATCCGGGGGATGTCCCTTAATTGGCATGAAATCTCTTTAAAGCCCTTCAGGCTATGTGGAAAACACCTTTTAAATATAGAGCCCTCAGCTGCTCTCTCTCCCTCTGGAGGAACAGTGTCTTTCCTGACAGTAGGTGATAACACTTTGAGGTTTGTTACCAAAAGCTTTGGGGCTATATATGTGTGTTAGAATTCCTTTTGTGTCCAGCGGTCATGTATTCAAGTGCCCACCAATCCTGGGACAAGATGAACGAGGCCTACAAAAAGTCAAGGCCTCAAAGAAATGGCACAGCCCATGTTTTCTGGCGTTTGTCCTCTTAATTACAGATCCACACGAAGAGGTGTGTGGAGCTTTGGGAGATGCTTGTGTTCCTTGAGCTGGCCTTGTGGAGAGGGCTTCTTTAAGAAGCTCAGGGTGTCTTGAAGCTGTTTATCAGCAGCTTGGGAATTTGTCCAAGTCTGAGGATGTTTTGAATACCTTCTACAAGGTTGCAGTATTAGTGTACCATCATGTCTTGAGAGTTTTAATCTTTTCAAATGTCTGATTTAACTACCAGAAAGTTTCTTACTTTCTGTGATAGATCAGGACCAAGTCTCAGAGGTGAAACATTACGTGCAGCATAATTGTACGAATCACTTCAGTGCTGATGGGCTTGTTTTATGAAAGGTACTGTTCCTTCTTTCACATTAACCAGAAAACCTCTTTTTTTACCTATTGTTCTCAACTAGTTTTCTTACCAACTGTATTGGACCGTCTCTTCTTATGTAGAGACTTCTAATATAGAGGCTGATTTTGGCCAACATATGGCAGTTGATATTAATGCATGATTTATGCAAAACAAAAATATGATTAGTTGCTTTTAAGGAATTATGGCATTGTATGTGCATTTTTTTTAGAAATTGTTACTGGACTTTTAATTACATACTTAATTCCAATCAGGTTTCTGTAAAACTTAAATAAAACCAATTCAAATAGTTGCTTTCCAGATTGTTTTTAGTCATATTTAAGCCTACACAGCCTCCCTCTGCAGGTTTATAAGAAAATGAGTATAACCAGGCGTGGTAGTGTGCACCTGTGGTCTCAGCTACTCGGGAGGCTGAAGTGGGAGGATTGCTTGAGCCCAGTTTGAGGCTGCAGTGGATATGTTGCACCTGTGAATAGTCACTGTACTCTAGCTTGGGCAACATAGCAAGACCCCATCTCTTAAAAGAAAAAGTTATTTTAAGTATATTCTAACAACTATTCCTGCCGTGGGGTCTTGATCTCAAAGCAAAGCATAGGCACTTTTCTGGTTGTTGAGGAGTTTGTTCTCCTAGTGTTTTATTTTATGTATGTATGTATGTACGTATTTATTTATTTTGAGTTGAGGTCTCATTTCACCCAGGCTAGAGTGCAGTTGCATGATCAGGGCTCACTGCAGTCTAGACCTCCTGGCTCAGGCAAACCTCCTGTCTCAGCCTCTCAGGTAGATGGGACTACAGTTATGCATCACCACGCCTGGCTAATTTTTAAAAATATTTTATAGAGATATGAGGTCTTACTATGTTGCCCAGGCTGGTCTCAAACTTCTGGACTCAAGTAATCCTCCAGTCTCAGCCTCCCAAAGTGCTGGGATTATAGGCGTGCACCACTGCACCTGGCTGCTCCTGCTGTTTTATAAAATGTGCCCTGATTTGAGGTCCCCAGATCAGAGCTCCTTTAACTCCCTGGCTTCACCATGCCTCCTGGGAGGGAGGTGCCATAATTCCTGGGGTCTAGATGAACAGTAGAACAAAGAAATGGGTTGGATTATGACCACTCAGAATGCATTCAGGAACTACTGTGCAGGAGAGAGGACTGGGAGCCCATACCCTAAGGAAGATGTGAGGTCCACCTAATGGTAGCCATTGTTTCAAACAAAGACAAACCAAAAAGCCAGTGTAGAGGCCCATCTTTGGCCTCTTGCTTCCTTGGAGGAAATTCAGATTTGTAGTCATCACCTGCGGTGAGTTAAACTTAGGTGAATGAAGTGTTCTCTGCAGTCCAGGAACTGTGCTAGTAGCTAAAACTCAAGATTATCATCATCAATACCAGGAAGACTGCAGTTCTCCCAGGTCCCCTAAAGGACACTATTGGAGCAGAAGAAAATGGAAAGAGCAGTCCATGTGATTATAAGGGAACAGGAAGAGGACCTGTCCAGCTCCCCATAGAAGGCCAGTACTGTCTGGGGGACATGGGAAGTACAGGAAACCAACCTGGAAGAGCTCCCAGGAGCCAGTCAGGCCACCTCCTAGTCAGGTTATCTTAAAGCTGCTACCAGGCAAGCCTTGGTTTGAGGGGCAGCCAGCGACAATACCTACTGGTACCTCACTTCCTCCTCTGAACCATAGACAGGTGATTGTACTCCAATCACAGGATGCCTATATTGGAAGAGACCTGAGAAGTCACCCAGCCCCATCTCTCAGGACAGAAATCCTTCCCTCTGCAGGTGATCATACTGGGAGAGAGAGGGGGAATGCACCTGCACTGGTCTCTGTCTAGCCTCCATGCTCTTGTTGACAGTGCCCCGATTTTTTGCCAGCTGTCTGTTCCTCCACCTCCTTGCCATGTGATTGTGGGACATTGACAATGCTCCTATCCCAGTGGCAGCATAAGGCTTGTGAGCACTAGGGAAGTCAACCTCAGGAGAAAGTCGACACCCTGTAAGGAAGAGAGGAAGAAACCCAGTCTTTGGGTGTCCACCTGCCTTTCAATGTGGTGGCTTGCCAGGGGCATCCCCTGCCTTATCTGAGACCGTGCCCAGGTGAGCCTCACTTTGCCCCTCTTCCCAGGTTCTGCCAGAAAGTCTTGTCAGCCTTTGGGGTGTGGTGGTGACAGGCAGAGGGATACCAGCACTCTCAGGGGCCCCAGCTGTGGGAACCTGAGAGACACCCCACACCCAGCACCCAGTGTCTTCTTCAGTCAGCACCTCCTCCACCCACGCTGGCCCAGAGGAGAACACTTAGGGATGGACCTCTGCTGTGGGGGTCAGTTTCTTCTTGGGCACTTGGTCATTTTCAGCTGTGCCTGGCTGTAAAATTCTGAGGCCCCGGGACAGCCACCCCCTGAAACCAGACCCCTTGACCTTACCCATGCAGTCTTACCCATCCCCAGGCCTTAGGCTCTTCCCATGAGCTTCCTGTACCCTTTTCATCTATATCTGATACTGTTACTCCTACAATGCTGTCTGTTTGAAAAGGTGATAGTGGGGAAAGTGTGGTTCAATTAAGGTAGTTTAAAAAAAAAAAAAATATATATATATATCAATTAAAAAAAAAAATTTTATAGAGACAAGATCTTGCTATGTTGTCCAGGTTGGTCACAAACTCCTGACCTCAAGCAGTCTTCTGCCTTGGCTTCCCAAAGTGCTGGGATTAAGGTGGGGTTTTTTTGGTAATTATTATTATTTTGGTGGGATAATCTTTAATTTTCTAAAGATAGCACTATTAACTTGTTAGCTGCTCTGCTTTCCCCACCTGGGCCTGGCTTACTGCTACTGCTATCACCCATAGCCACCCTTTCCTGGTGGTTGCCTACTGGGCCTGTGGGCACCTCCAGGCATGTTCCTTGGTCACCTCCTTGCTTTGACATTCTAATGGGTGGTGCTCCTGAGACTGAGGAGTGAAGATCCTTCAAAGCCAGGCTCTGCTGGGCCCCCCATGGATGTCTCTTGGAAGCTGGCTTACCCAGACACTTCCACCCCAAGGGTCTACATCATCTACTGGCCCCCATCACTCTGCAAGCATGAGGCCTCCAGGGAAGACAGCTCTGCACCCTTGTTTTCCAAGTTGTTGCATTCTGGACTGGCGACTTGGTGGCACAGTGCTGCCCCCTCCCCGAGGGAGCCCCAGCCAGAATGTGCATCCCTGGGTGATCAACTGATGTTGTCCTCATCATGGAACTGGAGTATTTAACCTGGTCCCATCCACACAGGTGTGTGGTGTAAACATGTTTCTGCTATACAAAGATGTGTTGGAGAGAGTGGCATGAGATATACAGGAGACACATAGCAGTTACCCATGTTTTGTGCTTATTTTTAACTAAGACTCTCCTCACCCCCCGTTTTTCCTGTAGATTTACTCCCTGTAAAGCAAGTACTTAGGACTCCTCTGGTGAAATCCCATTCAAATGAATATCTCAAAGTAGGAGACACATCTATTTCAGATGCTTTGGGGCAGACAACTCTAGCTGTTACCAGTCTGTAGTAATGCCTTAGCGAGAGGTATAGCTTAGTATAGCTCATACTTTAGAGGATGGCAGTTCCAGAAGGAGCACAGATAAAAAAAGAAAATGTCTAAAGCACCGGGAAAAGTAAAACATATATATTTTTGGACAGACTTATGCTTGTAATCCCAGCACTTTAGGAGTGCGAGGTGGGAGGGATTGCTTGAGGCCAGGAGTTCAAGACCAGCTTGGGAAACATAGTGAGATCTGGTCTCTACCAAAACTAAAAAAATTAGCCAGGTGTGGTGGTGTATGCCTATAGTTCCAGCTACTTGAGGGTCTGAGACAGGAGGATTGCCTGAGGCTGCAGTGAGTTGTAATCACACCGCTACACTTCAACCAGCGCAAGTTTTTGGCTATTAAGGAAAGAATTGGTGTCCTAAAAACCTACGAGAGCAAGTAAAATCAGGAGGTACTCCATTTGAGTTCGATGAAATAACAGACTTGAGTCTTCTTTGATGATCCTATGCTTCTCAGGTTTACCTTTTTTTGTGGGGGATGGGGGTTGGGGTCTCACTCTGTTGCCCAAGCTAGAGTGCAGTGGCATAATCATGGCTTACCACAGCCTCCACCTTCTAGCTGAGGCGATCCTCCCACCTCAGCCTCAGTAGTTGGACCTGTAGGCTCATACAACCAAGTACTACTAATTTTTTTTATTTTTTGTACAGACAAAGTCTCACTGTGTTGCCTAGTCTGGTCTTGAACTCCTGGGTTCAAGCAATCCTCTCACCTCAGTCTCCCCAAGTGCTAGGATTACCATGCTGGGCTAATTTAGGTTTACCTTTAGGGCAAAGTGAGCTGCCATGTTGCGAATGAAAGGGCATATACCCAGCTGAGCACCTCAGAGCTGTTTTTCTTTCTGACAGAGGCCTTATCATTAACTTCTGCCTTGGTTGGTGGGACTAGGGCTTCCAGCCAGGCCCAATTAAGCTGGTAGGCTTATTGCCTCCACTTGTGTAAGGAGGGAAAAGGAAATTGCCTCTGACCTGGTTTTCTCACTAGCCTTTTACTTTGGAGCCTGCTGATGTATGTCAAGCTCCATGAGGCTTCCCACGCTTCTCGTGCGTATAAAATAGTCCTCAAGACATGGCATTCGAGGGTTTTAATTCAGGGATTCCTTCAACCTAATAGTGGGTTTCTTTAAATCCACCTGGGACTGGGCAGAGCTGGCCCACATCAGAATGTCTAGAGTTCCACACAAATAGTTTCTTTCCTGTGCAACCATAGGCGCCCTAAGCACTCAGTGCACCTAGGAGGGTATTGTTGAATCATATGGTGAGACTTGTCTAGTTTTGGATAAGCAGCTCTAATTGTTGTTTTACTTTGCTTTTCTTCAGATTACAAGTGTTGCTGAACATTATTTTGTATGCTCGTTTGACATTTGTCTATCTTCTCTGGTGAGGTGTCTATTCAGATCTTTACATATTTTCAATCGGGTTGTTTGATTTTTACTGAGTGTTAGAGAATTTTGGGGGTATATTTTGTAGACAAGTCTTTTCAGTTGATCTTTCCAGATGTTTTCTCTGAGTCTGTGGCTTGTTTTCCGTTATCTTGATAAGATCTTTCACAGAGTAAACATTTCAAATTTTAATAAAGTCCACATTAGTAATTTGTTTTTATTTTTCAGGGACTGGCTTTTGGTATTATATCTAAAAACTTATCACCAAACCCAAGGCCATGTAAATATTCTTCTGTAACTTTAACAACTTTGCACTTGAAAATTTATGTCTCTGGACAATTTTGAGTGAATTTTTGGGTAATCTAGAAAGTTTGTGTTTGTTTTTATTTTTTGTGTACACACACACACACACACACACACACACACACATTTGAGTCAGGATCTCACTGTGTCGCCCAGACTGGAGTGCAGTGGCACACTCACAGCCATCTCAGTCTTGACCTGCTGGACTCAGGTGATCCTTCCGCCTCAGCCTTCCAAGTAGCTGGAACTACAGGCACTCGCTATCACTCCTGGCTTATTTTTTAATTTATTGTAGAGACAAAGTCTCACCAATTTGCCCAGGCTGGTCTCGAACCCCTGGGCTCAGGCAATCCTTTCGTCTCCACCTTCCAATGTGCTGGGATTACAGGTATGAGCCACCACGCCCGGCTTCCAATATTTCTGACTGTCTCATCACCATTTATGAAGCAGATTTGTCTTTCTCCATTGAATTGTCTTCGTCTCTTTGACAAATTCAATCGGCTGTGTTTACACGGGTCTATTTCAGACACTATTCTGTTCCATTTACCTGTTTGTCTATCCCTTCACTAACATCACACACACTCTTTATTACTGTAGCCTTATACGTAGTCAGATCTGAATGTGTAAGTTCTTTAGCTTTGTTCTTTTTAGTCTCACATCATCTAGTCTTAAGTTTTAGAAACAGTTTAGAAACTTTCAGTGCCAGTTTCCAAAACGAAGGCCTGGAATATCCGGACCCTGAACTTCCGCGGTTCCGCAGGACTGCCGGGAGGGGGCGCCCGGGCACCGCCAAGCTGAGGCCGAGCGCGGAGCCGACTCTGACCCGCCCTCAGCGGCCAGCGTGCGCTGGGGGTTCCCGGGTTGGACGGAGCCTCCTTCTCCCCAGCACCCGCCGGGAGAGGCCAGGCTGGGTCGCGACCACAGGGAGGACGGAACCCCCTTCTCAGGACCCGCCGAGAGAGGCCCGGCCTCCTGGGCGGGCGAGGAAAGGCGAGGGAAAGTGTCTGGCCCTGTGTGCCGAGTCTCCCCTGGTGTCATCTCCACACGTCCCCTCGGTGAGGCTGCTCGTCGTCGTGGCAGGCCCAGGTGCCGTCCCAGACCCTGGCTTGTTTCCGGGGAGGTCCCGGTACCGAGAAAGAAGAAGCGCCAAGACCCGCGGCAGCCTTGGGCTGGGGGAAGGTAGAGGGCAGGCCAGGGGCGGGGTCGGGCTGGGGTGGGGTGCAGGTCCTGGGCGGGGTCCACGTCGGGGGCGACGCGGTGGAGTGCAGGTCCGGGCCAGGGTCGCGGTCGCGGTCGCGGTCGCGGTCCCGGCCAGGGAGGGACAAGTGGCAAAATCATCCCGAGCCTGAACCCAGAGGCAACACTGCACCCTATGAAGCACTTTTGTTGAAGTTTTAAGGGTTCGTTTTTCTTTTTTCTTTTCTTTTTTTTTCATGTTAAACAAGTTTATTTAAACAACAAGACGCTTGACTTGAAGGGAAAACTATCTAGGTTTTTTTTTTTTTTTTTTTTTAAGAGTAATTTATCCCTACTTAAAGACAGATCGCCCTACATGTAACAGCTACGTACAAAAAAGTTATAAAATCATCATTGGTTTTATAATGATAAATGAAAACATTAAAATTCTCCAATTGAATAAGGTATGCAAGGATTTTTTTATGTTGCTGTCTTTTTGTTAAAACAGTGAGAGCAAAATAACTTACTGTAATATAAAGATAAGAGCTGAATGAGCATGCCACTAATGGAGAAAGGGGGTATTTTCACAGAACCAGTATTTGTTCCCATCCCATCTCCACTTGATGTCAATCAAAACATACCATTGGCCATTTAGTTAAAAAAAAAAAAATTACAATATGCGTGTGCACATACATCAGTTACTTTATGTACAATAAAGGAACGGGGAAGGGGAAAATGAAAGAATAGAGAAAACTGTACTGTAGTAGTCAGGATGTGGTGGAACCAAATTGCAGTTTTCTAATTGAGAATGTAATCTTGGTCTGTAAGAACAGAGTCTGGAGTAAAGAAGCAGGTTCCCTTTTTAGTAGACACCTCCTGTCTGCTGCTGGAACACATCAATTGTATCTTCATCCTCCATTTCCAACTGTGCAGGTGTGTCTGTTTCATTGATTGGCTGCCCGTCAAATCGGAATCTTGTCTGCCTCATTGACAAACCCTGTTGTTCACAATAGGCTTTCATTAGTTTACTAAGTGATGCTCTGAATCTTAAACTGCACCACAGAACCATCCTGCCCCGCCACCTTCAAATTAATATGATCGTTGTTCTCAGTCTTGACTCCTTCCTTGGGCTTTTCGTCAGCCATGACGAGCACCAGAGTCTCCTCAGCAGCCGCTTCACAAAAGAGGCACCAGGTCCGCACTGAACGAATACAAGCAGCCGGGTTCGTTTTTCTTATAGTGGCCAACTAGTGGAAACAATATTGGAAAATTGAAAAGTAGGCATATTACAACTTGCAACATTTTTTAAGTTTAAATTTTATACCAAACCATAATTTATTAAAATTCTATTTTGTAGCATGATGGAAGTAAACTCATCAATAGCTTTTCTTATATTGAGAAAGTCACAGTTAAATACCATTATGTATTTGTAATGGTACAGAAAATAATGTCTGTATTATACACATTGACATTCTACATTAGATGAACTATAATAGCTTATATCAAACTTTGATAGTAAATCATAATGTGAAGACAGTCACCTCTTTTTCTAGGTCTTGACCATTTTGAGTAAAACAAAAATTTGTAGGTCAGTTAACACTCTGAGGTGAACCCGTATGGGGTCTTTTCCAGTGAGAGAGTGGTGTTTTTTTTTTTTTTTTTTTGAGTGGGAGTCTCACTGCGTCACACAGGCTGGAGTGCAGTGGCACACTCATGGCCACCCCAGTATTGACCTGCTGGACTCCTGCGAGGTTTCAGCCTCAACCTTCCAAGTAGCTGGAACTACAGGTGTGTACTACTGTGCCTGGCTAATTTTTGATTTATTATAGAGACAGGACTACGCCAAGTTCCCCGGGCTGGTCTTGAACCCGCGGGCTCAGGCAATCCACTTTCCTTGGCCTCCCAAAGTGCTGGAATTGCAGGCTGAGCCACTAAGCCCCGCCACCAGTGGGAGAGTTTTAAGCATCATTCCAAGATTTTCTATGCTAATTGGTCTATATATAGTTTCCTTATTTTAGAGCCTGGTTTGTTAATGTGTATTCTTACTAGGAAATCTCTCTTTTCCTTTAGGTTCTAGTTTTATGCAATAGTTTTCTCTTTTTGTATTTTTAACTTCTCCCCTCATTAGTTTTCTACAAAATTCTTAATCCTGTTTACTTTTGCTATTCTTTCCATCAACAGGATTTTAATAATATACTTCTCAGTTTACCTTATTTTTGATTGAGGAAATTGTCATGTTTGACAGTTTCTCACAATTCACTGACAAAATTATTTTTAATTAGTTTCTGCTTAATTAGACTTATATTGCAGTACCCACCTGTCAGTGGTACTGTTAAAAAAATTATATATTTAAACACACACACACACAAACACACTTGGACACACACAGCCTTTTCTACTTCAGCAAAATAGACATAGAGGAAACATTTCTCAAAATAATAAAAGCGCCGGGCTCGGTGGCTCAGCCTGTAATCCTGTGCCTTTGGGAGGCTGAGGTGAGTGCATTGCCTGAGCCCGCGGGTTTGAGACCCGCCTGGGCAGCAAGACCTCATCTCTACAATAAATCAAAAAATCAGCTGGGCGTGGTAGCGCATGCCTGTAATTCTGGCTACTTGGGAGGCTGAGGCGGAAGGTCACCAGAGCCCAGCAGGTCGAGGCTGTGGTGGCCGGGAGCGGCCACTGCACTCCAGTCTGGGTGACATAGTGAGACTCCAACTCAAAAAAAAAAAAAAAAAAATAATAAAAGCTATAAATGACAAACTCACAGTCAGTGTCATCCTGAATGGAGAAAAATTGAACACATTCCCCCTCAGAACTAGAACAAGGCATGGATGCCCACTTGCACCACTATTCAATATAGTACTGGAAGTCCTAGTCAGGCAAGAAAAAGAAATAATGGGTATCCAAATTGGAAAAGAAAAAATCAAACTATCTCTTATGCCAATGATATGATTTTATACCTAGAGAACCTAAAGACTTCTCCAAAAGACTCCTGGACTTGACACATGACTTCTATAAAGTTTCAGGATACAAAATCAACACACATAAATCAGTAGCACTGCTATAAACTTATAGCAACCAAGCTGAGAATCAAATCAAGAACTCAATTTTGTTTACAATAGCAGGTAAGAAGCTAAAATACCTAGGAATATATTTAATCAAGGAGGTGAAAGATCTCTACAGGAATACCTATACAACTCTGATGAAAGTAATGCAGAGGATACAAATGGAGAAACATCCCATGCTCATGGATTGGAAGAATCAACATTATTAAAAAGACCACACTACTCAAAGATTCAATGCAATCCCTGTCAAACTACCAATGTTATTTTTTCACAGACTTAGGAAAAAAAAAATCCTAAAATTCATATGGAACCAAAAAAGAACCAGAATAGCCAAAGCGATCGTAAGCAAAAAACAAAGCTGGGGGCATCAAGTTACCTGACTTCAGATTATACTACAAGGCTGTAGTAACCAAAACAGCATGGTACTGGTACAAGAACAGATACATGGACCAATGGAACTGAATAGAGAATAAAAAAACAAACAAACAAACAACAACAACAACAAAACAACCCAATACCAACTGATGTTTGACAAAGTGTACCAAAACATACACTGGAGAAAGAGCACCTTATTCAACAAATGGTGTGGGAAAATTGGGTAGCTACATGCAGAAAAATGAAACTCAATTCCTATCTCTCCCCATATACAAAAATTAATTCAAGATGGATTAAAGACTTAAATGTCAGGCCTGAAACCATAAAAATTCTGGAAGAAATCCTAGAAAAAACTCTTATGGACATGGGCCTAGGCAGAGAATTTAGGGCAAAAACCCCAAAGTGAATGCAATGAAAACAAAAATAAGTAAGTGGGACTTAATTAAACTAAAAAGCTTCTGCACAGATAAAAGAAATAATCAATAGAGCAAATAGGCAACCTACAGAATGGACGAAGGTATTCACAAACCATTCTTCTGACAAAGGACTAATATCCAGAATCTACAAAGAACTCAAATAAGCAAGCAAAAAAAAAATCCCATTAAAACGTAGGCAAGTGGTGCAATCCAGAAGCTGACACCAGCCCAGTCTGTCCTGGCAGCCCAAATCTGAACTCTGAGCTGAAAGTAGTACTGGATTGTGAGTGTAGGATGTGCAGACACGGAGAAGGGTTCCCTCTGGGAAGGTACTCAGGAGTGTCAAGACTACATGTCCAGGATGACTTGCACTTGGGTTCTCCTTCCAGCTAGTTTCTCCCAACTTCCTGGCAGCTCAAGACCTCCTAGACTAGCCAGAAACTCCAAGAGCTCACTTGTCAGAGATCCTGCATGTGCCACCGGTTTCTGCACATGAGCAGTCGATGTCCACAGCACCCATTCGACCTATACGTGGCTGTGTGGCCAGACCTATAGGTACCTGGTGGCAGGGGCAGGCGATGGAGGCAGGATCGGCAGGACCCTCCCACGGCACTACCAGAGGGACACCAGCATCTGACAGGAAACGCTGCAAATAAAGGCTCTACAAGACAGCTGGATCCTTATCTAGGAGGCTTGGGGAGCCATCCTGATAAAGACTTACCAGAGCCGGGTCGGTGGCTCAGCCTGTCATCCCGCGCCTTTGGGAGGCTGAGGTGAGTGGATGGCCTGAGCCCGCGGGTTCGAGACCCGCCTGGGCAGCGAGGCCTCATCTCTACAGTAAATCAAAAAATCAGCCGGGCGTGGTAGCGCGCACCTGTCATTCCGGCTACTCGGAAGGCTGAGGCGGAAGGATCGCCGGAGCCCAGCAGGTCGAGGCTGCGGTGGCCGGGAGCGGCCACTGCACTCCGGTCTGGGTGACAGAGTGAGACTCCAACTCAAATGAAAAAAAAAAAAGACTTACCGGATGGGGTTTTATTGCCCTATTATCCTATATTCTGAAGTTTATTTTCCAACCTGACTCTGGCATAACATCACAACAGACAAAGAAGGACATAAAAATATTTTTGACCCTGCCAAGCCGTCTTTTGAGGACTCCTGGACCCTGGGCACCCTGTCCTCTACTAATTTCTAAAATTCCTTAGATTAGGAACTACAAATTACCAGTCAAGAAATTCTTAAATCTACTAATAACCTGCAAGACCTTGCTTGGAAATATTTCTCCCCCGCAACTCCCCAGGCCAAACTGATGAAAATCTCACATGTATATTGATTTACAGTTTCTGTCACTTCTGCCTCCTAAAATGTATATAACCAAACTATGATCCAACCACTCTGGGCATACATTCTCAGGACTTCCTGGGCCCAACATCCTCATATTGGCCAGAATAAACCAACTTAAAATAGAAAAAAAAAATGGGCAAATGACATGAACAGATAGATGTCTGTCAAAAGAAGATATACAAAAAGGCAACAAACATGAAAAAATCTGCAACATCACTCATCATCAGAAATGCAAATTAAAACCACAATGAGTTACTGCCTTACACCAATCAGAATGGCCATTAGTGAAAAACAAAACATAGATGTTGGTGCAGATGTGGAGAAAAGGAACACTTTCACACTGTTGGTGGGAGTGTAAATTAGTACAACTTCTATGGAAAGCGGTATAGAGATTACTCAAAGAACTAAAAGTAAATCTACCATTTGATCTGACAACCCCAAAACTAGGTATATACCCTAAGGAACAGGGACACCTGCACCTGCACCCACAAGTTCATCGCAGCATAGTTCACAATTGCAAAGATGTGGAATCAATCTAAATGCTCATCAACTGATCAGTGGGTAATGAAAATGTGACACACACTCACACACACACACACACACACACACACACACACACACACACACACCCCATGGAATACTACACAGCCATAAAAAAGAATGACATCATGTCCTTTGCAGGACATGAATAGGGCTGGAGATCATTATCCTAAGTGAACTGACTTAGAAACAGAAAACCAAACACTAAACAGTCACAAAGATGGAAATAATAGACACTAGGGACACAAATAAGGGGGGTGGGGGAAGGGTGGGTCAGGCTTCAGAAACTACCTTTGGGGCACAATTTTCACAATATGGGAAATTATCATCAGTACACAAACTGTCCATGTAATGAACACATGTGTGCTCCCTGAATCTAAAATCTAAAAAAAAAAAATTTTAAAAAGACCTC